ATGATGAAAATGTTCTTCCCTGTTCAGGGAAAGCACCTTTCTCATGATAAATTTTGTGACCTGATTTTAAGTAGAACTGCATTCAACTCAAAATAATCAATAAGCCAAAGCTGTGTATTTTGGGGTGGTACGTTCTGACCTACTTCATTGCTCTTGAGCTACTTATAAATAGTAACAAATAGAAATACAAAACATTCTTGCCTATAGACATGCAAATTAATTCTGTCAAGTGGAAATACAATGTCTTCCCTCTTCCCTGAACCTTGGAAAAAGATTACCATTCATTTGTAAATTCATTTTATATTTCTTTACTCCATATAAATTTGGAGTAAAACTGATTATAACATCTTACTGGTCCCCTCATTAATAATTAATTAAAAATTTGGGTTTTTAAAGTCTGTATGAGAGTCCTGTTTTACCTTTGTTGAAAATTATCCTTTTAACTTTTTTGTTTCCGTTAAAACAAGGAGAAGCACTTCTAGTTGTGGGCTTTTTGCAGTGCAACGCAAAACTTAGTTAGATGGAGAGAGTAAACACTTTATTAAAGATTTCATCATAAATTTATTTTATTTTTCAACTATACCTCTGGTAATCACATCTAAAGAAATCTGACTTTCAAACATTACATAGGGATAGTAATAAAAGCTTACGTTTGCTGCGTACTTAATAGGTTCCAGTCACCGTTTTAAGCACTTTATGTGCATAATCCTTATGAGGTAAATACTGAGGACCAAAACCCGCTACTCCCATACTCAGTCTGAGCACTGAGAACAAAACCTTCCCAAAGGGGAGCTCACTGAGATGCAATATGACTCCAGCAGCAAAGGCATCTGGGAAATGGTGGACTCTTAACTCTGTAGTCTCAGGCTTGTCCCGCTACCCAGAAACCCAGAATGCTGCCATGTCCCCAGGAAGGAAGTTAATGCATGTGCAGAGTGGGATAACTGCCTGATGTTAATCCGTTAATTTAAGAAGGCCTCATTCTTTCTGGGGGGTCTGTGTGATGACCTACCATATGCTTTTATTATTAACCCCCTATAAAAAAGAGACCTTCTCTGGGAAGAGGTATGGATTCTTCCTGGCCGCTCCACCACTGGGAGCAGCTGCCTTGCCCATGTTTGTAAGTTATTTCTATTAACATGTGATAGGCAGTTAGACAGACATGAGCAGAGCAAGGACAATGGGCCAGGTACAGAAGGTCACCAGGATGGAAAGCCCTGGGTGCCCAACAAAGGACAATTGTAGGGTGAGACCTTGCCCCCAGGGTGGCCTTTCCTCCCCTGGAATATCAATCAGTGGAGACCACAACCCTGAAACCAACTTCTACGAGAGAGCCTCAGGGATAACTTAACTTAACTTAACTTAACGGGGACCCCCTCCCTTCCCTGCAAGGGGTGGCTGCTGCGTCCTCTCCTAGGTTTCTTAAAGGACCAGTGCTTTTGGGAACGTGAAAGGCAGGGAAACAGGTCACTAGGTTGACTACTGGAGACAGAATTGTACAATGAGAGTTCTCTATTTGAGGTGACAAAGGTACTAGGTATCCATTGTACAGACAGATACGATACAGGGGATACCCAGTAAGGCTGGCTAAGGCAGGGGGTCATCAAAAGAAGGACATCTCACTTGAATGGGCCATATTTGTTGGGGCACCGGATTGGGTGCTGGCGGGTACCTGCAGGACCCGGTGACTGCGGGACAGCCCAAAACAGCTCAGACTAGCAGGACAGATTCTTCCCCAGCTGGGTGAAGACCGGACTCATCAGGGTATCACATAGCTCTACCACGCCATCAGCCAGAATGGCTACAGGTTTCTGTACTGCTCTGCTCATGCCATTAGCATGGCCAACATGACTTGTGGCTACTTGCACTGGGTCAATGGCAAGGGCACAATCTTGCCCCAGGATCCTCTGATGCTGTACCCCAGCAGCTTGTTCTCTGCCTCCCACAGGAAAGTGATAGAAAATAAACAAGAGAAATTCAAAATTGAGTGTCTAAATGATATCAAGAATCTATTTGCCCCATCTCAGCAGCCCTCCTGGTGGTCCTCAGTCCTCTCTGGCCCAGCAGGGTTGCAGCTCAGTGGACCTGAGGTTGGAGCCTGGGCTCCTGTCACTGATCTGTTCTCACACACACTCTGTGTCAAGTTGTGTGCTGAGTGCTGCTTTGATTGCATAATTTAAAAGGAAGAAAAAAGACACTAAATAAGAGTGGACAAAATAATGCACAAAGTAAAGTGTATTTAAAAGAAAAGATTTCCTTCCATCAAACATGTTGGAGTGGACTCATATCTACTAAATTCTTTTTAAAATCACACTTTTGAGAAAGGAGTTTGGAGCAATTGCTACTATTGTAACAATTACAACAATCAGTTTATCATTAAACCACTTAAATGTCTTTATAACAAGATATCTAAGTCTCAGCAAATGGATTGCTCATTTTAATAAAAATAAAATTCCAAAAGAAATAAAGATCTTTTCTACATAGTTCTGTACAATAAACAGTTGAAGAGATTTACTCATATGGGACAAAAGGCAAGTTTAGGACTGTCTTGTCTTTGTAATGACTTTAGTGGTGGATAAAGAAATATATTTATGAGAAAAGAGATGGAGTAGATATTCCTAGACCTGTTCTTAGTGAAAATGAGATTATTTCCCACAGTGGATACAAATAAGAAAGAAGATCACCCCACCCTTCCCTCCGTACAGGAGTTTATGTATACAAATGCCTGGCTGGCCTTTTACTTCAGGGCTTCTTCTATTCTAAATACTCCATTCACTTCTCCCATCTTGCTAGTTTCAACTTTCTAGCTTCCCCTTCCTTAGAGAGCAGGGAAGGTTTCAGGAGGCTCTAGGTAGGGGGCCAGCTTATTCTGAAATGGGACTGGAAGTCGGGCCAGCGCGTCAAGGTCAACCACTCAGGTCACTGAACTGGCAGAGTCAGGAGGCCTGGGTGTTCGTTCTGCCACTGACGTCTGGGCTTCAGGTTCCCCCCAACAGAATGTTACACTAAATACCTTCTAGTTGTAAAAATCTGATTCTGTAGGTGGCCCTAGCACTAGCAGTTCTAGGCACAGCTAAAGGGGAAGGAAAATAAGAAGTTAAGGGAAAAAATCTGGAGGGAGGTTTATGGAAAAGGTTGGCAATAGGGAAAGGCTACAAGTAGGGCTTGATGGTTTGATGCCAAGAAAATGCCGTCCCTAGGGTGGACTAAGGGGACTGGTGGGGATACAGAAGAAAAGTCTTGTTTCTATTTACTTTTTTCTGTGTTTATCTCCACCATCACTGTGGTGGCAGAGTACACACCCAATGCAGCCGAAAGGCAGGGCGGCTTGTCCTATTCTTAATCACTTGAACCTTGACTTAAGCCCATCCGTGCTTCATACCCTTTGGTTACAGAAAATCTCCAACCAAGTAAACTAAGGTGACTTCTGTGCTTTATTGCTCCGCTGCCCTGAGGCTTCATAAGGCTTCATAAGGACATGCAACCCTGCAGATTCAAGCGGGGGAGGGCACAGAGCAGGACCACGGATCTGGAAGGCGGGGGTTAGGGAAGCGCTCAGGGAAGCCAGGGCACCCCAGATGCGGCGCGAGGAGGCGCGGGGGGCCCAGTGGTTTTCCCAGGCTCCGTCGCCCCACGGGGCCCCCGCCCCGGCTCCGCCCCGGG